GAAGCAGAAATCAGGGCAAATGGGCAAAAATGAGGCCACGCAGCAGTGATCTGGGCAGTGAGGTAGAAAACTGGACTTCCAGGATGACGTCTGAACAATTGGTTTCTCTGAGTGGGGTAATCATCCCTGCTGTGGTGGTGAGGGGGCAGGGGGCTAAAGATTCTTAAAGAATGTCATTCCTGATAGTGTCATTAGTGCTGAGATTCTCACTGTGTGTGTGTGTGTGTGAACCTAACAAACAGAGACTGATGACTTTGTCAGTCTGCTGAAAGGACTGTGTTTAAGAGCATCACTAGACTGACTGATGCTCCGCTTGTTGTTTTGTCTACGTGAAGTGGCGTTGAAGGGCTGCTGGGACGCCTGTCTGTCAACACGCTGCATAAATCATCACGACATCGACAAGTCACTGCAGCCATTACTGAGCAACACCAGGGGTCGTTGTAGGTTCACTCTCTGTCTGTCACTGCTCTACGTGATGAAGTAGTTTTATTACATATGTTGTATGTGACAGATACTTGTCTGGAATCAAACTCGGTCCAGGACAGTTCTGCAGTCACATGGAGACAAACAATTGTCCACACCAAGTGGTTTGGACTGTTGACAGAGACAGGAGTCTTATATTTTCTTTATCTTTGACAACTTGATTGTTTCCAGGGTAGGGGGCTGAGGTCGGCAGCCAGCCTCCACGTCACTGGGTGAAGCTGTGATGGACACATCTCCACCTTCTCTAAGCAGTACCATTATTACCACCTCCTCCATCGTCATTATTTCTGTTTTGACCCAGAAATGCACTCTTAACTCAGCACTGCCCCCTAGTGAATGTTTTGCATAACAATAATGGCAATGACTTTCGCTCGCATTTGTCCTCAGCAGTGTTACTGTAGGTGGTGTTTTTACTGCAGATCCCAAAGTTCTCATCTGAAATTCTGACTTTACTCAGGTTTAGATCACTGGTCAATCAACAGATTCAGATCCTTATATTTATCAGTGGAGAAAAGATCCATTTACCCATCTTGTTTTTCTGAAGATGTTTCAGTTCTTCATTTCCTCTGATGATGTTCCGTCTATGACTGCGTCTGCGTCACGTTCCTGCAGCTTGTGTTCACACCACGTTTGATCTCCTCACCTTCAGGTCATTTTAATATTTCCTCCTGTTGTGATTTCTTTTCCTCCTCTGATTGAATCCTGGGGGCAGTTCAGGGCAGGAGAAGGAGGAGGGGGAGGGAGGCAGAGGCTCATCCTCTGTTCAGTCAGGTGACAAAAACTCGTTAGAGTTCTGTCCATGCTCTGAGGCCGAGAGATTTGTCTCAGGGTAAGGGTCGCCAAGGTGTGAGTGATGGGGGTGTCGACACAGGAGCCGCCCCCGCAGCACATTACGTCCATCTGACTGTTTTTGTGCCTCACAGTGACATGATGTTCATTTCCAAAAACAACCAAACAATAATAAATAGGTAGAAGGTGTCGACAGGGGGCTGAAGTTGTGTGTGTGTGCGTGTGTGTGCAACTGTAACACAGGTGAAATTATTCCACCTGAGGATCAGGCTTCAGGTCCGGAGGTGATTTATTTTTCATCAAAGCACTGTCAGAGCCAGGAGCTTTAGGAAGGCAGAGACAGGGTGTCTGTGTGTGTGTGTGTGTGTGTGGGGGGGGGGGGGGGGGGGGGGGTTGTCTGATGTCCCGTGTGTTTTAGCAGTGATATATTTAGTGAATCTTCTTTAGAATGTCTAGAACCATGTTTTGCCAAAGGTGTTGACACCAAACTGAGATTTAACAGGAAGAGGAATCAACTAGAAAGACCAGGATTGATCTCTACAAATCATCTTTATTTCCTGTTGGATCATTTTTCAACATGAAGGATTTCTGTACACATGTCCATATACGGGCCTGGGACTTTTAGTTTTCAACATGAAGGATTTCTGTACACACATATACGGGCCTGGGTTAATTTAAATTATTTAGCTACAGAAAAATAATGTTAAAAAAACTAAAAAATATTGTGTGCTTTTCTTTTTCATTCATTCCTTTTTTTTCTTGTTCCCCTCATGCCTTATTTTCTTCTCTTCTTCCATTTATCTCTTCATTTTCCACTGATCCCAGATCTGTTTTATCTTTGGTGACTGTGTTTGGAACAAGGACAGAATTAATTTTCTCCTGTAATTAAAGTTTTTTTTATGAGGAAGTATTAATCAGACTGTAGATGGCGTCTTTGGACAGAACCATCTGATAATCAGTCTTTAATGGTGAACAGCTGATGGTCGTTGTCTTTAATGAACATCAGCTTCTCCTCTCAGGCCAAGGTTCCTCTCTAATCAGTCAGTCGTAATGTCAGAGGACATTAACGCTGAAAGAGGCCGTTCCTGCACAGTCAGCAGATTTTCTGTAGTAGATATCAAACATGATTTTACCCCATGATAAGGGCACATTTATTGTACTGGTGTTTTAGGTGGGTGTATGTATTTCCCCTTCTCCCCTCTACGAAATATAAAACAATCTCCACCCTAAGAAGTTTGGGGGCATTTTATTGTTATGGTATTTAAGAGAATGAAATCAGGATCCTTCAACTTTCCTCATTTGACAACTTTCCTCAGACAACCACAGAACTTCTTCTCATTAGCATCAGATCCACGTTAGCAGAACATTAGTTTCACCATCAACAGCTCATCAGCCACCCCTTCAGGTCAGCAGTGTCATCATCTACATCACTCTCATCAGCTGTCATTATCGTTCTAAACTCTGCTAAGCACCCTTCATCCTCAGGCCTCTCGTCTTTAACACCAAACATTTCTGACTCTCACAGTCACGTCTTCATGACAGTAATGACTCCGACTCCTCTATCTCACATTTCATTTCTAAAATCTGTTCACAAACTTAACTGATCCAGGACTAAAAAGAAAGAAAAATGATAATTCAAACTTAGAGGGAAAAGTTAACCTAATCCCCAACCCTAAAGCATCAGTACTAGTACCATCAGATCAGTTCTTGCGTTCTGGGACAGTACTTTTATTTTGTTATTATGTTCCACTACTTCCTGTTTGATCAACGTGTATAAATGTCCTTGGATACTTTGCTCCTCCCCCTCCTCCTTTGTATCATCTGATCTGCTTTGTTACGTGACTTAGCAGCACTAGCTAGAGCGAGACTCTCAGCACACAGGTGTCTCTGTCCTTGACCCTTTGTCTCGACTCTTCTTCCTCCTCCATCAGCAGGCGTTGGTGCTGAGCTGCAGATGTAGTTTTCAATCATGAACCCAGGAGACCTGGTCGTACCAGCTGTACCAGCTGTAGCTGCCAATGATCAACAAGATCAGACTGCAGACTTCCCACAATTCCATGCTCAGACAGGCCCACTGTGGAGAGGTTTCCAGTTAAGACTAAGGTTTAACTGTCAGTGTGTGACTGTAGACCAGAGGCTCAACAAATGGAAGGCAGGCTCCCCCTAGGGGCCACAGTGCTATTGTTGGTGAGCCCAGCAAAGAAAAGGATTTTTTGGAGCAACTGAAGAATTTGGGGAAAGGTCAAACACAGTGTGTTTAGGTTAAAGTTAATTATTTTACTTCTAATATTTACAATGAAGTACTTCTCTGAATCATTTTTTTTACATTTTCATATGTTATCATTCAAACCACAGTAGTAGTTTTTCTTAACTTTTGTGTAAACCAGACTACTGCAGTACTCCTCAGTACTGCTGCTGCTGAGACCATTTCTGTGTTTATTTTTCCAACATCTCTCTGGTGGCGCTGGACTAAATGTTAATATTCACGGATGAAGACAAAACATTTGCTGCTCTGTTGTTAAGCTGCCATAACTGTCTGCTGTGGTCGTGTCACTGCAGTCAGAGTGTGTCTGCAGTGCAGTGTTACTGCAGACCAGAGCTGCCCTTCACATCCGTTCACACCTGTTCAGTTTGGTGTCTCACTGGAACCCAGAGAAGCTAAACTGTGTGTGTGTGTGTGTGTGTGTGTGCTCGTCAGTGTCTCAGGTTGATGGTGAATCTGAAATGTTTAAATTAAAATAACACCTTCCCTTTACTAAAGACAGACACTTTTATGCAGTAGACAGATATTTAAAGTGGACATGTGACATTTAGCGGACATCGTCTGGACATAGTGTTTTGTGTCTCAGTTTGTCCACTCCTTCATACTGAGGTTTATCAACTAAGTTAATGATTTATAATCTGAACAATTCTGGATTTTGTCTCAAATCCAGAGGTTCAGATTCCCCCTGCTTTGTGACTGTAGCTCCGCCCACCACCATCATCACTCCGACTTTACTTTGCTCCTGTCTGTTGGAGCAGCTGTGATCAGGCCGTTGTTTTTTTTTTTTGTTTTTATGACCACAGCTTGTTACTAACATTTCACTTAGACAATTAGCATAAAGGTATCATGATAACCCCTTTGAACCTCCTCTGTTCATCCTCTTTCTCTCTCTCTCTCTCCCTCTCTCTGTCTCTCTCTGTGTAGAAATGAAGATGCCATTAACCAGATGGCCGTCCCTCCTTTTCCTACACCCCCTGCTGCCCCTGCTCTCAGCCCCGTCAGCCCTGAGGTAACAACACGAACACAGATTTACTGCAGTTTTCACCCAAATACACTCAAATACACACAGTGGCATTTGGTGAAAACAGCCCAGTTTAAGACACAGTTTCCTGAGAAGCTGTGACTTCTGACAACATCTGTCAGTGGCGCCACCTGTTGGGAAGTCAAACAAAGAAAACAAAATTAATTTTAAATGGTCCAGTTTGACTTAAGAAGTTTATTAAAAGTTAAAATACTGAACTCAGTTTAGTGAAGTTGATGAAGTCTCCCTGTCTGTGTGATTCAGTCCGTCTCCCCAGGTCCTCCCACTGTCTCCGCTCCCACAGATGGACCCCGCCCTCCTGACAGTCTGCCACTTCCTACATCAACATCGTTAAACTCACTGGTCAGTCTGAACCTGCCATACACACACACACTTAAACACACACACACACAGACAAACAAGAACAAGTATGAAGTATGTTTGTCTTCTAAGCAGGACAAGACAACTGACAACAACAGAAATAAAACCATCAGCAGCGCCCCCCAGAGTCAGAGAGAGACTGACACATTCAAAAAGGTATGGTTATATATTATATTACAGGTCTAATGTCACTGTAACAGAGAGAAGACACTTCTGTCCTCTGTCCCTGCTGTATGTCTTACTTTGTCTGATGACACCGTGTCCAAGTCCATTAGTCCAATCCCAGGACTGTGGTCCTTACACCTAGACTGGAGACTAGAGTCTGACCAGAGCTGTGGAGAGTCTCCAACCTACAGACATGGCCTGTGTTCAGTGTTTGTTTACAGTGTGTGGAACAAGCTGCTGGTGTCAGTGTTCAGGTCCACTGGCCTCAGCTGTGTCCTCATCAGACTGAGGGGGAGGACCGGCCTCTTGTCTGCTCTGCTGCACCTCCTGCTCCATCAGCTGTTTATCTCCATCCACCAGCCTGTACCGAGATCTTCACTCACAGACTGCAATAACGTGTGTGTGTGTGTGTGTGTCCAGTCCCACAGACCCTACAGCTCCAGTAAACAAACATCAACCACCCCTCCTCCTACTCCTCCTCCTGCTTCTGTTCCTGCTCCTGCTCTGATCAGCCCTGATCTGCAGGCTGCAAACAAAGGTAAAAAAAAAAAAAAAAGTCAAACCCGTTTTTATAAACTCCACACATACACAGAAGACAGAAGTCCATCAGTTCCAGAAAAGAGTCTTGTTTGGATAACTCCATCTACTTGTTTTTAGGTATGTCTTCCTCCTTCTTCTTCTTTTTCTTCTTCTTCTTCTTCCTCCTCCTCCTCCTCTTCTTCTCAGATCCATCTTGCTGTGCTGTGGTTCCAGGTCAGGAGACGGTGCTGGAGATCAGTAAAGGTCGATCAGGACTGGGACTCAGTATCGTTGGGGGAAGAGACACACAGCTGGTAAAGCCACACACACACACACACAATGCATTATTAGTTTTCTAATTCGTAAAATTTATTATTATTATTTTTATTTCATTCTGTATTATTATTATAAAATGAAACAGTAAGGTGAATGAAAGGTCAAATTTCAGCTACAAAAAATGTAAACCAGTGACAGAACTGTGCTGTGAAGATCAACTGATTATTAATTGATTAATAACTGGTTATGAACTGATTGGTGATGTGGTGAGATCATAACAGATGGTTTCAGTAGAGAACAGATTCAGTTTTCCTGACTTTGGAGCAGGCAGTGACGGTAATTCCAGGACAGACTCCCTCTCTTTGTCTTATTGTGTCTTTGTGTCTTTGTCATCAGGATGCCATTGTGATCCATGAAGTGTATGAAGAAGGAGCAGCAGCCAGAGACGGACGACTGTGGGCAGGAGACCAGATACTGGAGGTAACTACTGGTCAGACAGGACTGAGAGCCCGGCCCTGTTTAGAACAGATGTTGGATTTAAACAAACACACTGTGTGAACCAGAGAAGTACTTGATTGACTGCGGTGTTGGTGTTCAGTAGTCGGTGGTCATCTTCAGTACTCATTTTTATTAGTCAGTAGTCATCTTCAGTTGTCGTTTCATCGTCTTCTGTGTCCGTGTCTGTCAAACTATTACCAAACGTCTTTGTCCTTCCAGGTCAACGGTGTGGACCTCAGAGGTGCATCTCATGAGGAGGCCATCGCTGCTCTTCGTCAGACACCATCCAAGGTCTGTCTGACGGTGCTGAGGGACGAGGCTCAGTACAGAGACGAGGAAAACCTGGACATATTCCAGGTGGAGCTGCAGAAGAGGAGCGGCCGGGGACTGGGACTGAGCATCGTCGGCAAGAGGTCTGTGGTGTTAGGAAGAAAAGTGACAGCTGCATCATCTGGAAATGACGTGGCTCTCTGTGTTTGTGTGTCAGGAGTGGGAGTGGTGTCTTTATCTCCGAGGTGGTCAGAGGGGGCGCTGCTGAGCTGGATGGTCGTCTGATGCAGGGAGATCAAATTCTGTCTGTCAGTGGAGAAGACACCAGACACGCCTCCCAGGAAACTGTTGCTGCCATACTGAAGGTAAACACACACACACATATTGCACATTTTTATTTTTTATTTTTATTTTCAAGTTGGAAAATGAACACATTTTACATTTTCATTTTTCTATGTAAACAGTGACTTTACACCAGTCCATCCATCCAGCAATGTAAAATATCTAGTTTAGATGTTGTCCAGCATCTTCTTTTCCTTCTTTAACACCTCTCTGGAAGTGCTCTGGCGCCCCCAAGTGGACACTTGCTTCCCACTAAATCACACAAATCATACAGACATTCTCACTTTTCTCCTTGCCAAGGAACTAACTGTGTGTGTGTGTGTGTGTGTGTGTGTATGTGTATCTATGTGTGCCTGTTGCAGTGCGCTCGGGGTGGGGTTCAGTTGGAGCTTGGCCGACTCAAGGCTGCATCCTGGATATCATCCAGACGAATCTCACAAGGAAGCCAGGTGTGTGTGTGTGTGTGTGTGTGTATTTTTCTGTCATTAACATTGAAGCATATGGCAGCTATAAATGTGTATCAATAAAAACCCACACCTTCTCTCTTTATCTCAGATGAGTCATGTGAGTGGACACAGCTCAGCTGTTGTGGCTCCACCCCCTTCACAGCTCCCAACATCTGACCCTCCTGCCTCTGACCCTGTGTCCACCACCCCCACTGAGCCCCAGGCCCTAAACAACAACAAGTCCAGCTCTCATATTAATTCCTCCCCTGCCAACAGCACAGGTACAGGCGTTAAATCAACAAAAAAAGTACAGACCTTTAAACTTTTATATGATGTTAATTAAGAAAATAATCACTGTTAAATCATAATTATTAATTCTTCTCTGTGTGTGTGTGTGTGTGTGAAGGGGAGGATGCAGGTGTTCGTACCGTGACCATCACAAGAGTAAGACTTTAATTTGGATTTAATTGAATTAGTTAGATCAATGTTTCATCCTTGATCTCCTCCTCCTTCAATGTCTCCATGTGTTCTCCCCTCTCAGGGTGTCACTGACTCTCTGGGGGTGAGTATAGCAGGGGGTAAGGGCAGTCCTCTGGGAGACATCCCCATCTTCATCGCCATGATCCAGGCCAACGGAGTCGCCGCCAAGACGCAACAACTCAAGGTAATACTGCGAACAACAGAGATACTACTGCTACTACTACAACCACTGCTACTGCAACTACCCTTTACTTCTAGTATTATTAGTATTGTTCCCTCTAATACTGTTACAACTACTAATAATGAAAATAATAATATAATAATAATAATTAGTTCACAAATAAAATCTGTGTGTGTGTGTGTGTGTGTAGGTTGGTGACAGAATCGTCAGCATTAACAGCCAGTCTGTGGACGGTCTGTCCCACAGTGAGGTTGTCACCATGTTGAAAAACAGCTACGGGAACATCAACCTTGAGGTACCACACACAGACACACAAATATATGTATGTGTGTGTATATACTGTATATACTGTATATATCTATATATATATGTATATATATATATATATATATGTATATGTGTATATATATATATATATATATATGTATATGTGTATATATATATATATATGTATATGTGTATATATATATATATATGTATATGTGTATATATATATATATATGTATATATATATATAAATGTATATATATATATAATTTCATACATGTGTCCCTACAGGTGGTAGCAGACACCAACATCAGTGCTATTGCCACTCAGGTGGAGAATTTGTCCAACAGTTCCAGTCTGTCAGCCAGCACCGATTCACACACTGGAGAAATTTCGTGAGTCCACACACACACACACTCTCCCCCTCTCTCACCCTCTCTCTCTCTCTCTCTCTCTCTGTTTGTTGACCTTGTTCCTCTTGTCAGGGGCCCTCGGCCCCACAGCATCACTCTGGAGAAAGGTTCTGAAGGACTGGGCTTCAGCATCGTGGGAGGATTTGGCAGCCCACACGGAGACCTGCCCATCTACGTGAAGACCGTCTTCAGCAAGGTTTCCAACTTCCTTGGACACAGTTACAATGTTTCTTATGAACTTTGACCTTTACCAGCTCTGGCTTGAGTCACAGTCACATTGATAAAATAGTAAAGCTATTTTATGCTATGTCAATCGACCAATCAGGATTAACTTCACAATAATCCCACATTCTTATCTGCTCTAAATGTAAAATATATACATTGTTTTTAATATTTTATAATATATATTTATATATTTCATATATTTTTTCAGTTTCTGTGGCTCATCATCATGTCATGTCCACAAGGTGGCACTAAAATCTTGCTTTAACTCATTACAGTAATGTCTGAATTAACACTTTGTTGCCTGTGTTCCAGGGAGCAGCTGCAGTAGACGGACGTTTGAAAAGAGGCGACCAAATCCTGTCAGTGAATGGAGAGAGTCTGCAGGGGGCGACTCACGAGGAGGCAGTGGCTGTCCTGAAGAAACAGAAAGGAAGTGTCACACTGGACATCCTGTCATAACATCAGCTGCTGTGGCCACTGCATAACCATCACAACTGTAGACCACATATAAGAAGTGGGTGTCATTTCAAAATGGAAGGTCGGGGGAATCAGGAGAACGACAATAGTGGTTTGCCACCAGGGGGTGACTACAATGCACATGGACAAAATGAACTCATGGTGATTAGTCGATTAGGATTAACTAGATTAATTATTTGGGATTCCAGGTCCTTCTCTAAATTAAAAAAATGTTAAGCTTGTAAAGACTTAAAATCCCATTTAGAGGAAAATTGTTGAATGGCATTGTGCGTTTGATAGCCTGTTGTCATGACGTTGACTGCAGGAAGAAAGTGAAAAAGTGCAGCCATTTCTTACAGTCTTTGGTCTCATCTTCCTAGACAAGAGATGTTTGCACTTCCCAATATGCAAAAAAATATAAACATAAATATATGTCAAACTGTGCCACACGCACACACACACTCTGATGTCGGACACACTGAAACCCCCCAGCAGCATGGCTACACCAGCATCAGCACTGGAATACGTTCACCAGAGCAGCTCAGCCTCGGACGTGTGGTCGATATCCAGAATCTTCTGGAACAACATGGCGACTTCCACTTTCTGCCTGTTTGCCGTCCTCTCCATCACTGAACCAGAGCTTACATCAGCATGCAGCAGGAGGCTATGACTACAGCTAAAAGATCTCTGGTGCTGCTGCATGTCCTAGCTTAGCACCTCCACTGTGGTAACCAGACTGATTAGCTTAGCCTTTAGCAACAGAGTCAGTGTTGTTGTTAATATTACTGCAATTGTGGAAGCTGGTGTCGTACACATCTGCCATCACCTGAGGGCAGCGTCAGAGCAAACATCAGCCGGAGACGGAACCTTGACCCATCTGTTCTAACACTACATGATGGAGTAAAGACGGAGAACTCCTGTTATCAAACTAAAACAGCCACAACTTTCAGTGTCTTAGTCTCAGTCGCTGCAGCTTTTACACATTTAAAATTTGAAAAGATCAGAAATAATTCACTTTAATTCTCTGTTTCTATGTTCACCCTGTGATTATTGTATGTGCACTGAATAAATAGATTTATTTGACATTTGAACTTGCCGTTAAATCTTCTTACCACAGTGGAAAAAAAAGTCAAAAAGCTGCAGTGAAATAACACACTGGACTGGAGGATTCACTGTTTGAGTTTCAAGGTTAGTTAAAAAATATATTGTTTTTAAATTGTTAAAAGTCATTGTGTCCTGAAGAGAGTTGGAATAAAACAGCACTCCCTGTAGTTCTTAATAATTAATTTCTATTCAGATCTAAGTACTAAAATAGGCTAAACAATTCAGAGAAAATCAGTTTCTTTGTCAGTCCACAGATTACTACACTGAAAAAACAACTGCCCTCACCGGTTACCCCAGGAGTCAACCAAGAGCAGAACCTCGCTCTACTGCCCCTGGAGGAGTTCTCAGTTTTAGCTTGAGTGAGTGAATGGTTGTTTGTCTCTAAATGTGACCCTGCGATGGCCTGCAGACTGCCCAGGGTGGGACCCCGCCCTTCTAGTTACCCCACAGCCCTGAGACGGCCGAAGCAGCCTAAGACAAGTGGGTTCAGGGACAGTGGTCGTTGATGAAGGTGAGTCCTCTTTATCCTCATCTTAACCTCAGTGAATATCAACAAACATGTTTATGTTTCCTTACTATCTATTTTATTGCAACATCCCATAATACCTTGAGTGCTGTGTTGGATTTTTACAGTTTGTTTTTTGACCTGTTTAATTATTAATGACTTGAAGAATCTTTCACTGACAGTTGAACTTCTGACACCATTTGGTTACAAGAATCATTTATTGTTCAACACATGGATCATGTGACGGACGGCGGCTTCTCATCTGAACTGCTGTGAATTTAAGCTTTCAAAAATCGTCAGTACTTCCTGTGTCTGTGGATTTCTTCTGATTGGTCTAGCGTCAGGTCTTTCTTTTCCTCGTTGACACTTGATGTGATCGGTCTGTGTTTTAATCTCGTGAGAAACTTTAAAAGTTCTTCGTCACTGGACTGAGTTCATGGTAAATATATAGTATTTATGTTCCTGTAAAAGTGACTTGTCTCTGTTTCATCTTCTCTGTCCTCTCCAGAGTCGGTCAGACTGGACAGCCAATGAGATCCTTCCATTTGGTCACATGGACGTGACTTTATCAAAAGTGTTGTCCATTGCTAAGTTGTTGAAGGCGTTCTGGTCCTCTTTACTCCTGATTACAAGCAGACAAAAGACACACAATGAGAAATGACAAAATCTCCTTTGTAATTATTTATTACAAATAAATAACATAAAAAATCTCCTTTGTAATTATTTATTACATGTAATTATTTATAACATCAGAAAACATTTTCTGATGTTATTTTTTTTTAATAATCTGAAACCGCTGCAAAAACTACCAGCACACTACCAGCAATAGATAGGATAGATATGTATATAAACATATATGTACATAAATATATACAAATATATATAACTTTAATATAATGTAGAATATAACAATTTTTCTGAATTTAGGACATTTTTCATCATGTGCGTGTGCCAACATTGGTCACATGACCAGAGTCTGAGTTCTAAACGTTAAACTGTCCCACATACCTGACCATGTTCAGTGAAGTGTCACAGATGTTGTTGGTCACCACAGGAGCGTTTTCTCTCTCTGACCCCAGAGATGAACTCACTCTGAACAGATACAGGAAACACAACGAGTCGAGCTGTGACATGGACAAAGGTAAAAGCCAGGACCCTGTCCTTCCAGTTTTAATCATGTTGTAAGAACGTCTTTGTTTCTGACCGACCTCTTTGGCTCCTCACACCAGGCCTTCTTCACCAGCAGACCCACAACTGACAGGAAGAGGAAGCCGGCCACAGCGATGAGACCCGTGGCCCACTGAGGCAGGAGGCGTTCACTGACCTGAGACTGGACTGGATCACAGACACACAAACACCGGGATTTAAACCAGGAATAAATAAATAAACTGATGGCTTGAACAAACAAGCCATTAGCTCAGGAATCAGGATCACGGGTAACACATCCCACCCAACACACACACAGAAGTTAATGTTAACTATATTAACTAATATTCAGTATAGTTCATTTTTGTTTCAAATGATGTATTTAAACCTTAGGTGAAAATAAAATAAAATAAAATATAGAAATATAAATAAATATGACTTATTATTATACATATTGCTGTAGCTTCACAGGTGTAAATACTTTATTTATATTTAATAAATCAGAAATATAAATATGTGTGAGTATAATAAATCAGAAATATAAATATGTGTGTGAGTAAAATAAGTAAATAAGATAAAATTAAATTAAAAAGTATTTTAAAATAAAGTATAGGAACTTTTACTGTAGCTCTTATATTTAATATGACTTTACCTGACTGTGCTGTTGACCCCCCCACCATCAGCAACAAACAGGAAGTCAGTGCAGTGAGTTTCTCCATTTTCAGCTCTCGGAAGAATAAAACACTCTTTTTAACAAAAAATAAACGTTGGTAGAAAAACTCACAGGAAACTGTCTGGACTTGACGAGGACACAGAGAGAGTGAGACTTTCAGCTGTGTCAGGGGGATATACACACACCAAACACACACACACCCTGGCCTTCCATTAATGTTTAACTCAGACTAACAATAAAACTCCATGTCCCAGTTTATAACTGACCAGGAAACAATTTTATTTTTCCCACTTGACTTCACTGATTTACATGGAAAAATATTTATGATATTATAGATATCTATTATAGATATTGTATCACAAACCTGTTTAATCTAAAATCTGAAAATAATCTCTCTTCTCCTCTGTTTACAGTTACAGATTTAAACCTAATTTAATATATATGTATATATAAATGTGTGTGTATATATACTGTATATATATTAGTTCCACACAGAGAAAACCAAGGTTAAAAAAACAATAAAATCTACTTTTTTTTATAGATTTGTTTTATTAAACAACAACTTCTAAAAGAATCTTGAGATATATTTATCCTTTACTATTTTATTTCCTACATTCATGTGAATTTTATTTAAGCATAAACTGAATTTAATGAGTAATAATTGTAAAGTATAATTATTCATATGAATGCACAGTACAGTAGTGATTACTTTGTCTCCTCTATCAGTCAGAAGCATTTTCTGTAACGTTTACAGCATCCCCTGCTGGCCATGGACATAATGGCATAATGTTAAAGTTTTTTTTTCCTTTAAAGTTTTTCATGAAACATATATAATTAATGAATGATGATTATGAGACATATGTTAAAATAAAATCTAACTATGAAGATATTTGGTTCCTGCAGAACACTGCCATCTACAGGATGAGGCAGGTCGCTGAGGGCTTTTCTCCTAACATGCTCATGAGGTTCAGGTTGAACTGGGCTGGGTTGTAGTTCTGCAGCTCAGGTGTGCACTGATCCTCCTCCCCCCTCTTCCTGGAGGTGACCCTGTACTGGGCCTTGATGTTCCTCAGAGGGTTGTAGTCTGGGCTGATGTGTTCTGGGCAGCGGAACACTTCTCTGATGACGCAGCCCTGCTGGGACAAGGCCACAAAGCCGTTCCTGTAGGTCAGCATCCTGACCACAGGAGAGTAGACGTACTGGACCAACAGGAGGTTCCCTGGACGAGGAGACAAGTTGGTGAAAACCTGAGCAACAACCAAGACTGAACAGGTGGTCTACATTCATGTGGCGCTAATCCTGGAGCAGGCAAGTGACTTGACCTGGGACCACAGTTCAGTGACCTATAGGCTACAGGTGAGAACAGAGGCCACCATCAGAGTTCAATGTAATGCAAGAACACTAACTGCTGTACCACCGTGTAGCCCTGATTCACTTTATATTAACTACAAACCACTGTTACTGGGTAAATCCCACCGTCCAATAGGGGAGTAGGAAAATATCCATTCACTGAAATATCATGATGTTCCATTTCCTGATACCGTATCACTCTCCTCCATCAGTGTACTGATTTTTTTATCACCAATTCTCAGTCAAATATTCCTGGTGTTGGTTCATTTTCTTTTTCTTTTCTTTCTCCTCCAGTGATTCCAAATGTAGATCCCTCTGTTCCAATGTTAGTAACCTGATGTTCAGATGGAACAGCAGCAGAGTCTTTACTATGATGACACTTGACTGCAGTTGCATTGGGGGGAACAAAACCCTGGAATATATCGTATTGCTGTCATGATATGTATCGTATCAATGCCAATATGCAGCCGTAGTGTCCACTAACATAACACCAATCAGAGGTTGACTGTTCATGTCATGTTGATGTCTGTAGGTCTTTAATTTGTTTTTGTTCTCACAAACATTGTTCCCACTGATGAACATACCATTGGCCACGTCCCACACTTTGACAGTCCTGTCCTTAGATCCAGTGAAGACGAACTGGTCACTGTCAGCAAAGGCAGCACAGAGGACTCCCTCGAAGAAGAAACCCTACAACAGAGATGTACACACAACACAGTAACAGGTGAGTATCAACAGTATTACACACATCTATGTGTATGCAGTAGAATAAAAAGAAATAGTAGTATTACTGTCTGGAGTAATAGTTCAAGGTTCTTGGGATAATACATGAATGTGAAGTTAATGGTAGAATTTGTTGAACTATTATGTCATTTATCTGAACTCTGAAGTAGCAAAACATTAATCTCACTGGTGGGGGCAGTGGGGGGCGGAGGGTATGTGTTATTTAAAAGTTCCGATTTTCTCTTTAGACGTCTGGGTTTTATAAAGAGACACAAAGATAACAGTTTTACACAATGACCTTGTACTCCATGGTGTGGTCCAGAGCCACTGGGCTCAGGGACCACAGTCTCTGGACAGCGTCCTCCGACCCCACCAGTGCATGTTTCCCCCAGTTACTGGCTGTGATGCAGGTGATTCTGCTGTGATGAGGCTCTAATGCTGAGCTGCTGCCGCCCCTGAAGTCATAGAGGGTGACCTCCCCACAGCTGGTGCCGTACAGCAGCCTGCGGTCGGGCAGCAGAGCCATGGAGGAGAGTGGGGATTGAAGCAGGGACAGGGACACCCTCTGCATAGGCCCCTCCACTGTGGGGAAACATTCTCTGGTGGTGATCTCAAACAGACACACCGCATCCTCGTAGGCCACGGCCACGTGTCTCTCCTTGGAGCTGACGGCCAGACTCAGGACGCTGCAGAGACTCTCTGGTGGGGGGATGCACAGGGTCTCCTGGGGTATGTTCAGAGGGTAGATGAGGACGGTGCCAGAGGTCAGGCCACAGAAAAGAAGACGTTTGTTTTGGGCTATCTCCAGACAGCTGACCTCAGCCGAGACAGACAAACGCTCGGAAATACAACCTGGAGGAACGAAAGTCACCCTTTGAAGTCAGTAAACCTTCTTCTTCATCATCATCATCTTCATCATCATCATCATCATCCACTGACCTGTGTGGTTGTTCCAGCTAATGACTTCTGTCTCACTCTGATGTCGTACAAAGAAAATTTGATCACAGTCTCTGGTGACGGCGACGTGGGCACAGCCCACAGGTATGTGGTCGATGGGTTTGTAATCTGGGTCATATTTCAGGTTCCACAGTTGGATGACAGGAGCAGCTGCTGAGGCTGAAACCACAGAACCTTTGTACAACAGAAGTGAGGATACAGGAGACTGTGATCCACAGAGAGAGTCCAACAGAGCCCCGGTGGTCACAGACCAGATCTGTGAAGACACAAAAAGTAAGATTCTGTTAGATCAGGCTACGTCGTTTTAATGAATGAAAAAGTTTCACCACATTTACCTAAAGTTTGACAAAAGAACTAAAATTTCCTGAAACCTAAAATTAATCAGAAACCTCTTAAATGCATGCATTACGACTGAGACAAATTTCTGCCCCCCCCCCCCTTGGACCGCTGAATTTTTACAGCAGTATTTTTTAGTTTGCAGGCATGTTTATTTGGTTCTGACTCGTATGAGTTGATCTGCAGCTCCTGTGAACAGCTGCCGTCCATCTGAGGATAAACAGGCGGAAAGAACGGTGTCGTCGTGTGTCAGGTTGAGAAAATTGTCCAGAGAGTCTGTGTCCAGGTTGTAGAGACCCAGAGTCTGGTCACAAGCTGGACACACAGATCAACAGGGAGTCAGGCTCAGAACTTTCTCACACTTCTGTAGGTGTTTGTTTAAGGTGAAATAACAGCGTATCAGTACCAGCCATCAGGATCTTCTCGTCTTCAGTTACACAAAGAAAAGAAGGAACCAGAGGAAAGTCAACAGCTGAGACTTTGCCTTGTCTCGAAATCTGCAAACACAAGACATATTAGGAACGGTGGAGTTCCTAAGGGATCAGTACTGGGTCCCATTTCATTATTTATTTAAATGATTTTGGACTACATATGTCCGATATTTTGTGCCAACCGATATTTTCGCCCCAATATTAGCATAAATATGAAATACCTCTAAGAATTGTTATCGGTTTTTCCTCCGATAATGAAAATCCAATAACCCAATGCCTGGGTTTCGCCAAATGATGTGTGCCCTAAAATTAGTTTAGGGGATAAATGGCTGCATAATAAAGTGAAAGCCACTAGATGACAGCATTGCAGTTCATTTATGTAATCTATTTTAATAATCATGGCATTGTATGCAGAATGCTGGTACCACCAAATCATACAATGGTTTGTACAGATAAATGAATAAATATTACAAAGCCTACGTCGTATCGGTTGATCGGATATAGATAAAAAAAATCATAGATATCTGGTCATACTGACAAAATATTCACCTAACATTAAGCCTGATTATTAAAGTAAACAGTACCTGGTACAAAAACCCCATTTTAGTGACTACAATCACTTTCCCTCGTTTTGGTGCCAGAGCAGAGTTGACGACTGTTGACAATCTCTTAGAGGTTCTCAGCTCAGTCTCCACGGTCGGAGTCCTTTTTAAAAGACTCCAGATTCTGACAAGACCAGACTGGGTCAGAGAAAATACTGAATCATCCAAAACTCCTAAAGTAACTGAATCTTCTTCGTTGGTCTGGCTGAAGAGCTGGGCTCCATCCAACTTCCACAGCTTTACCTGGAACCAAAAAAAAAAAAGATTTGGAGTACGTCAGGTTCAGTTGTTGGTGGTAGTTGCACATACTGTGTTGCAGTACTGTAGTAACACCAGCAGGTGAATATCCGTTTTACCTGAGTCCTGGTGTAAACACAGATCAGCTGATTCTGATCCAACAGATGGAGGCACACTGCTGAGGGGGTGGAGTCAACAGGCACTGCCTCCTGGACACAGAGCAGCTGTTGACCATTGATGAGGCTCCACCTCATCAGACATCCATCAGCAGCCAATGAGAGACAGCAAGACAAGCTGTCAATCACCTGGACGTGCAGGACAGCCTCTGTACGACATGGATTTAAAAAAAATATATAAATATTTTCATAAACCAGTTCATAAACCCTGTGTTTTCAGAGTGACCTTTGACCTTTGTGTCCCAGCAGGGTGTGAACCAACTGCTGGTCAACCAGACTCCACACCGCCACCACTCCATCATCTGAACCTGCCACCAGGACCTGCAGCTGCACACTGACATCCAAACAGACGACACCTGGGGACACAGGGACAGGTAAGTTCACCAGGACTGTCTCAACTGTCAACCTTCACGTGACACTTAATAACTTTTAATAACTTTCAAGGACTTATAAGGATTTGTATGTATAATGTATTTAATTTAATATAAACAACTGTCCCGGTGTCAGCAGCACAGATTTAAATATATTAATCAAATATCACCACTGACCTCCATAAAGTCCACTTAGTGTGTGCTGCAGTGCCCCGCCTGGCTGCTGCATGAAACTGCACTTTGGCAGCAGGATGGGTTCAGGGCAAGTCAGGAGCCACTCCTCACACTGGCTGCACAGCTGACCAATCACAGCAGGGCATTTCTGAGCCAGGGAGGAGAGACGAGCCAACAGCTCCGCGCAAAAGACGTTCATGTCTGAAGGAGAAGTTGAACATCTGCTGTGATCACTGTTGTTTTCCATCTGTTTACTAACAATAAACCTACTGACCTATTTGATTCTCCAAGAAGTCAAAGGTGGGTTTGATGAGGACCAGGGTATCTCGGATCAGTCTGGTCTCGGTGCAGTTCATGAACTGGGAACACTGGTCCAGGTCCTGGATCACAGCTGAGACTCCACAGACCCTGCTCTTACAGTGCAGCCAGTCAGCGTTTCCTGGAAAAACACACGGATCACACTGAGCTGCTGGAAGAAGCAAAGAATTTTCTGGAAGGAATTTGAACTAATTTATGCCTGACTTGATCCTTTTTTCTAAAATCAAAATTCTAGGTGATTAGTGAAATTATTTTAGCATCTTTAATACATTTCTGTTTTACATTTTTTACTTTGTTTTAAAATATTTTGTCTCAGTTTATGGTTCTTGTGCCAACAGCAGATCTGCTGCCCCCTGCAGGGCCCCTAAAAAAATACTTACAACTGTAACGTGGAACATTTAGTGTCAGCAGGGGTGCTTTAACTTCTTACCAATGACCTGCTGCTGAAGCTCCTCCCACAGGTCAGCGTGCAGCAGGTGATAGGGCATTTCCTGGAGCTTTCTGACATTAGCCATTCCAGGGGCAAACCACAGAGGCTGTGGTGGAACCTATGACGACATGGCCTCATATGTTAAAGGGACTCTGTTCAAACTGAGACCATCAGGTTTGATAAACGTCCTGGTACCTTCCTGTCTGAGAGCAGCAGGGACAGACCGGGTAGAGACGCAGGCTTCAGTTTTCCTGACCATCGTCCCAGGAAGTAATCAGCCAGGATCCTGTGGCTCTGCCCCCGGCGTTCTGGTGTCAGGTAGTGAGACGAAACCATCTCTGCAACATGTCTGAGATAAAAACGATGTCTTTGATAGGGATCTAACCTGGTCTCCAGTCATCATTCACCAAATCTCTGTTTTTTACCGGTTGTTAAATGTGATGAAGACAACTCCAGATGTCCAACGCTCCTCAAGCAGGTCTTCAAGGTCCCGTCTAAGTCTGGCCCACAGGAAAGGAGGCAGTCTGATCAACGAGGGTGTAGGAGGAAGGAAGTACTTGTATACTTCACTAATGACGTTGTCGTCCAGGGACAGAATGTCACGCAGCTCTGCCTCCAGTAAGCCCTCCCTGTGGACCAATAAAGGAGCAAAGACAGGAATCAAACCTCAACCCAAATGTCAAGTATTTGGTAAAGCTGGTATTAACTGTAATCTGACCTTGCCAGTGCCAGGTATCCCAAGGCCCCACCAACCAGCTCCTTTCCATGTTTCTCCTCCAGTTTCAGAAGAAGCTTCAAGAATGTATCCTTCAGGTTCTCGCCCAGGTTCAGTTCTGTGAGGGGTGTGAAGGAGGTCCAGTGTTTGGCAGCAGAGAGGATCAGTTTGAGGTGGAGAGGGCAGCCAGTGGACTCAAACTTCTGCAGCACAGTGTGGCTCTGCTCTGGTGTCAGAGTCCGTTGCCATGATCTCATGTTGGTGTCCATAATCTTCTTACCATCATCGCCAGATAAACGTTCCACCACGAAGAACCTGTCCAAACTCTCCACCTTTAGGCGGATATTGGCAAAGACTTCACTGCTGGTATCCATGGAAACTACTATGTGGACATTAGGTGGGAGATCCACAGGCAACCAGTGAAGTCTGTGAGCATGGTTCTGGTCCGACAGCTGGTCTAAGGAGTCTAGGATTAGGAGCAGGGTGTAGCCCTGTTGAGACACCTGGGAGAGCATGGTTCTGAAGAACCTGCGCAGCTCCAGGTGAGCACCAGCCGTCAGCGGAGAAGGTGGAGACAGGCCGCAGCTCAGACAGACCTGGAGACAGATGCTGTGGAGGACCTGGTTTATATCTGGTCTCTGAGGATGATGAGCAGAAAGCAGTCTGATCACCACACTGGATTTGGCCTCCAGGACCTTCTGCATTTCATGAGCGAGCTTACACAGCAGGGTGGTCTTCCCCATCCCAGCAGCACCGTGGACCACTAGTGGACCATGATGGATGTTGTTTGACTCCCACATGGTGAGGCAGAGTTTACCCAGAACACCCTCTCGTCCATGGAGACCCTTACAGAGCTCAGTACTCCTAGCAACATGCTGCCTCACCTCTTCCTCCACCCACTCTGACGTTTGAAAGGGTTTTTCAGTGTTCCCCCAGATTCTCTTCCCCTTCTCCCTCCCCTCATACTGAGGATCAGCCACAGCTGTGATCCGGGCCTTCATCTGGGACACAAACTGCTCGCAAATGCTCTCCAGGTACTGTGCGTGCTCTTTGCGTTTGGGGTCGACGCTGCCTTTGATGAGCTCCACACAGTGCAGGTTCAGGATGTTCTTTGACGAGGTGTAGAGTCTTGACTTGAGTTCAGTGAGGAGACCCTGAGCTTCTGCATCCAGCAGGCCGTCAAACGTCATGTCCATGTACTTTGCCAGACGTTTGGGTCCTTCCCGCACCCTTTGTCTCTGAATCTCTCGGACGAAGATAAGTGGTAACCTTCTGCTGTCGTCTTCCCATAATCCCTGCTCAAACTCCCTCTCTGTGACTGTGGACCAGAAGCAGAAGATGCTCAGATGTGATCAATCCTCTGAGACAACAGTGGACAAACTGAGTAAGACATCTCTGACCTGATGAAAAGAAACGCTGCTTCTGCTCCGCCGTGATGTCACCATCTTTCTCAGCTGTGGTGGCGGCCGATCGTAGGAGTTGTAACAGTTTAGTCTCTGTGAGACGCCAGGACACGACATCCTTGTCATGCTGGGGCCTACTCTCAGGTCGGAGGTCACTGTAGTGGGAGAAGTGAGCTGTGATTGGCTGAAGGACGTAGGTGGGCGGGACAGCATTGTTGTCTTTTAGAAACCACTGGTTCAGCATTTTGATGCCTTCAGGGTTTTTGGTGAGTTTGGACGAGAGAACTTCAAACTCTTTCTCTGGGATAAACCGAGGAAGAGCGCGGTGACCATACCGATTCCCCAGCAGTGCCTAGGGAACCAAGTCAGAAATATATATATATAAATATAAACCATCAGAAAATGATGAAATGAAATGATGAAATTTCAGCTTTCAGCTACAACTACTTTACATTCTTATATGTCTATAAGAATAAATGGGATACTACATCCAGACTGGTGTCAGGTGACACTGGTAGATATGATGATGATTGATTGATTGATTGATTTTTGGTGTCACCAACTTGATTAAATAACTTTTCTGAAACATTGAAGTTTGTAAAATGTGTTAAAAGAATTTGAGTTGAACACAAACTAAAAACCAAATCATGAAATGTAGATTATTAATCTGCACAATTATTTATTAATTGATTCTTTAAATATTTTTTGCATTCATTTAATATTTATGATCAATTGTATTTTTGTCCCTTATATTTTTTTTAGGGAACTCACGACAAAGGCTGGACCAGCTGAAATTCTGCAACAGTTTTCCATCTCCTTCAGGAAGACTTCACAGGAATCATGATCTCCAGACGTAACGTTTCTAATCCCCCATCGCAGGTCCACCACCTGGAGGGGGGGCATTCCACTGATCAGAGAGCAGGTTAGTGTGACCAGTTCAGATCACTTCAAAGTGGACCTCACCTCAAACACGAGGCCCAGACTGCGACAGAAGGACAGGACTTCTGGATAAGCCTTCTCCAACAGGACCTTCCTCTCACTGCTCATATCTGAGAAGAGAAACATCAAACTGGCAGAGGCTCCGAGACCAGCGCCAGAAAATGTGAAAAAAAAAGTGAAATAAGCTGTGGTGTCAGGAAAGAGAAGGAAATCTGTCAACAGGTTGTTACACGGTCCAGGCAGCGACTGTTCTGGGTTGGTCTGACCATGAACCTGTTACTAAGACGGTAATTCCCAAACAGAACTGTGGAAAGGCATAAACTTCTTGGTTCATTCCACTTTAAAAATGATTTCCTGAACACAACCCCAAACCTGTATGCAGCCAACAGTCTGTTGTCTCCTGGCTGTGGAACTGTTGGACTCCTCATAGTGTCATAAACCGGTCTCTACAACGACTCACTAATCGCATGATTTCCTGTCACTTCAAAGACTTCTGATGTTAAAATTTAATTTACAGGTGTTGTCAGAGAACACAAATGAAAGAACTCTGACCTGTGAACGTGGAGCTGATGAAGACACGGATCATGTTGGAGCAGGTCTTCATCCCCTGTTCTTCTTCACTCTGTCCTCTGAGGAGGTCCTGCAGACCGGGGTCTTGATGCTCTGCCATCGTCTCTTTTCAGACACCAACGTCTTCTCCTTCTCCTGCGTCTATGAGATCTGCACTCCCTCAGCGGGTCCTTCGACTCCTGCCCGTGTCTCCTCCTCCGAGACTCGACTCCAGGACAACCACTGCTCCACCAGGACCTGTAGCAGTCACCTGTTTTGAAGTGGAGTTCCATCATCACCTCCTTTTTTACGTTTTTGAATTTTTTTTTACTCTGTCTTTATCTGGACACATTTATTTTTGGACAACATTTTGAAATTGATGTCATTTTATTTTTAAAATATCTTTTGATTAATTCATAGCAATTTTCCCTGAATTTTAGGCATGTCTACTTTGAACCAATTTATTTTGCTGACATACAAATGGATTTTGTCGTTTGTTTCTATTTAAGCCTTTCTGTCTATTTTTTTGTAGTTCAGGAAATGTCAGTGAATTATACGATTTAAGTCCATTTAATTTAGTCAAACACACTTTATATAAAGTCATCATTATATTCAGTTTTATTAACAATATAAAGAAGAGCAGAATACATTCATTTTAATGAATCATTACTAAACTAAGTTAAGTATTAAATAGTTAGAACTATTTTTTTACTTGTTTTGTTTTTTTTGTTTTTGTTTTTTCTCATGGTGTGTTTCTCAGGTTGTCTGAGTGTTTACAAAGCTGGGCCCGGGGAGACTCCTGGGTCCTCCAGGCCCATGGATCCTTTGAGAGAGGGAGTGGGGATTCCATGCTGCTCTTTGCTAATGACAGTGATGAGACACAGTGATAATGAGGATAACAATGCTACAGTGAAGCTGTTGGACACCTGCGGCACCTGTAGCTCACACACAGCTACAGAGAGTCATTAATGTCACTGACGCAAACTGATATGAACAAAACAGCAGGACAAGAAGTCAGTTACAGAAACAGAATGGAGATGATACAACACATATTTAAATTCAAAACTGCAGCTTTGTCTTAATTAATGTGAGGGAACATATTAATATTATTGGTATTGTTGTTGTTGTAATTAACCAGACATACCCCAGTTTGCTATATACATTTGAAAATGCCTAAAAAAGCATCTTATTCCCCAAAACGTGTTAATTTTACAATAAGAATGAAAATTCCCAGAGGTGGAAAGTAATTTGTATTTTTTTAAGTATTTTTGGGAATAGGTAATTTTACTTTTACTTAAGTACATTTTGACTCAAGTATTTTAAAAGAATTATTATATTTGAAAAGAACCGGTTACTTAATTACAAAAATAAATGAGGGGGGAAACAATGGCGTGCGCGAATTGCCCACAAAGTTAACCTAGCCAGAAAATCTTGCTTAAGAGAGACTCTAGCCCAGTGGTCCCTAACCCCCGGGACGCGTACCGGAACCGGCCCGTGGGTCATTTGGTAGATAGAATACATAACTTACATTATTTCCGTTTTATTTATTATCTGACGCTGAACGATGTTTTATTTTGAAAAATTACCGGAGTCTTTCCGCGGCATTCGTCAATGACTCACACTTGATACATGCCACGATGCTTGCTTCGGTCACATGTCTTACCTACGTCCGGTACCTTCTTAAAAGTTCTGCTCCGGTGGGTACTACATAATACATTACTGCTAAATTGACACCTCCATGATAGCACAATGAACAGAAAACAAACGTCTTTGGAACGTTTCTTTGGGCAACGAAGCCTTCAAAACTACTTCACCACTTGGAGACCAAGCGTTCTGCATTAAAAGACAAGCGCGATGTTACGAGGACGCTGCTAATTAACTTGTATACACAGTGGCTTAATGTTTATTATTATATTTAGGAAATGCCATTTTTTTTTTGCCGGTCGTATCATTTTATTAAAGGCCGATCGTGGAAATATTTTAGACATTTAACCGGTCCGTGGCGCAAAAAAGGTTGGAGACCGCAGCTCCAGCCTGTTGTTGGATGGTGGCCGGTGCAGATCAATAAACGGAGGATTGTCAAGCAGAGAGCTCTCGTGGAGCAGAGGACTCGGAAAGAGATGATCTTTGGCCATATCTCAGACACCTGTTTGTTTTCAAATACAAAGAAGGAAAAAACTTCATCCTGCGATGGAAAACGAACCTGCCCCGGCGGACAGAGCTGTCGTCCTCGAAACTTCCACGTCAAACTTTCGGAAGCATGTGGTGGTGAGTAGAGTATCTATGATTTCACCAGTGTTTCCCAACGTGATGTTTATTATTTGTTTAAATTTGTTTACGTTAAGTGTGTCTTCATGATATCGATTGTTTTCGTTAGTTTAGCATCGATCCTGATAGCTAACGTTTCAGTGAAGTAGAGCAGTGCCAGAACACGGTCAGAAATGAAATCATCTTTATTTCTGTATAATAGACTAGATTTTGGTTGTTGTAGCCCTGACTATGAACTTTGGATGGACAGTGATATTCAAAATAACCGAAATAATAATAAGTCTTGCTTGTTATTGGTGATATTTTGAAATATTCAGATTCAC